GAGCGCCACCGCGCTTCCCAAGTGGCGCACTGTAGCAGTGCGCCACCGGGCCGGCCCGATATATGATTGTTATCTAGAGAATTAGGGTTCTTACAGTCCCATTCCTCTTTTAGATGAGGCTTTTGTAAGATAAGATTGAAAGAGATCACCAGGGCCTTGTGGACCACTGTAAGGCCTTGGCTTTTACTTTGAGGGAAACTGGAAACCACTGGTGGGTTTTGAGCAGAGGAGAGAACTGATCTGACTCAGGCATGGAGGTAGCTCTCTTTAGAACACACTGTAACAGGGCAAAGGTAGGAGCTGGGTGTCCTGCAAGAGATTGTGGTGACTGGCATCAGGAGCATGGCAGGGGAGGTGATGACCTGTCTGAAGGTTGAGCCAAATATATCCTGATATAATGTGGAGAGTGAGAGGAAGGAAGTAGTCAAGGACAAGTGCAGGGTTTTGGGCCTGAGCAGCTAGAATGGAGTTGCCATCAACTGACATAGGGAAGGGTGTCAGAGCAGCTGGTTTGGGTGGAAGATGAGGGGTTCAGTTTGGGGCATGTTAAGCTTGAGCTGTCTATCCAAGTGGAGATACCAAGCAGGCAGTTAGCCATGCAAATCTGGACTACAGGAGAGAGGTCTGGTGTGGTGACAGAAGTTGCCTCTGTGCCCCTTAATATTTGTAAGGGACTTAGAGCAATGTCAGGCTCATAGTAAGAAAGTGAGCGACTGTCATGATGAAACAATTTCTTTTCTTCCTTTGACCACGTCATTCAAATTGTCCAAAATAACTATAAAGACAGGTGGCGTTGGTGGCATAGTGGTGAGCCTAGCTGCCTTCTGTAATAATTGTAAATATCTAATCCTGCTTATTATATGCAGCTGCTGTCTGACCTAGCAATTAAAGATCTCCACAAGCTAATCCTTTCTTAGCTTTCCGGGGTTTTCACTTTCTTACCCTCAAATTACCCTTGAATGGTAAATTCATCATTTTTCAAGTGTAGTTTGTGGGTACTGTGGGAAAGTGTATTAGTCAGGATTCTCCAGAGAGACTGAACCAGTAGGATATGTGTATATGTATATATGAGAGAGGATTTATTAGGGGAATTGGCTCTCCAATTGTGAAGACTGAGGAGTCCCATGATAGGCCATCTGCAAACTGGATGCCGGTAACATGGCTCAGTCTGAGTTCGGAAGCCTCAGAACCAGGGAAGTCGATGGTGCCATTGGTGTAAGGCCTGGAACCCAAAAGCNTTAATATTTGTAAGGGACTTAGAGCAATGTCAGGCTCATAGTAAGAAAGTGAGCGACTGTCGTGATGAAACAATTTCTTTTCTTCCTTTGACCATGTCATTCAAATTGTCCAAAATAACTATAAAGACAGGTGGCGTTGGTGGCATAGTGGTGAGCCTAGCTGCCTTCTGTAATAATTGTAAATATCTAATCCTGCTTATTATATGCAGCTGCTGTCTGACCTAGCAATTAAAGATCTCCACAAGCTAATCCTTTCTTAGCTTTCCGGGGTTTTCACTTTCTTACCCTCAAATTACCCTTGAATGGTAAATTCATCATTTTTCAAGTGTAGTTTGTGGGTACTGTGGGAAAGTGTATTAGTCAGGATTCTCTAGAGAGACTGAACCAGTAGGATATGTGTATATGTGTATATATATATACTTACATATATGAGAGAGGATTTATTAGGGGAATTGGCTCTCCAATTGTGAAGGCCGAGGAGTCCCATGATAGGCCATCTGCAAACTGGATGCCGGTAACATGGCTCAGTCTGAGTTTGGAAGCCTCAGAACCAGGGAAGTCGATGGTGCCATTGGTGTAAGGCCTGGAACCCAAAAGCTGAAGAGTCTCGAGTTCTGATATCTACAGACAAGAGAGCAGAGTGTCCCAGCTTCAGTGGATAGAGAGATTCACCTTTTCCTCTGTTTTTTGTTCTCTCTGGGCTCCCGGCAGATTGGATGGTGCCCACCCATATTGAGGCAGGTCTTTCCTACCCAGTCCACTCAGCCTGTCATGCTAATCTCTTCTGGAAACACCCTCACAGACACACCTAAAAAGATTGCTTTACCAGGTTTCTAGATATTCCTTAAACTAATCAAGTCGAGCCTTAGAATTAACTACCACAGGAAGTAATCAAATTTAAAAGTTAAAATTAAAATATACTATATAATTATGGAAAATGTCCTTTGAGTAAAAAAAGATTTAGCAATAGGAGAAGTCACAGAGTATCACAGTTAAGAGAGGAGGTTCTAGAAATTAATTTGAATTCTAGCACCTCACCTTGGGTGAGTATCTAATCTCCAAGTCTCAGTGTCTTCATCTGTAAAATTGAGACCTGATGGGATTTTTCAGAGTATTAAATGAGATAATAAGTGTTAAGCACTTAGCACAATGCCAGACATAGAGTAAGTTTTTATAATTGTCAGCTATGATGATGATAACCACGTTTTCTTTTTATTTTCAATTGGAACTAACACTAAAGATTTTCATATGGTTTTACATTTACTGTGGGGTTTTCACTAAGTATACACCTCAATATATCATCTAAAATTTAGAAAACTTCATCTTAGGACATTAGACCAGAAATTAAAGTCTAATCCAACCTGTCATTGATGCTTTCATCTACCTCCTCTCTCCCCTCCCCAGTAACTAGCCCATATTGGGTAATTAACAAATTGAATTGAATTGACTCAAAAAGACAAATGCTAAATGTGTATCTTCCCCCTTATGTTATTTTAATTGTGTATACTTTGTTTTTAAGCATAGCTTTTTTGGGGAAAACAGAATAGGTTTACTATAGAAAAACATATATTCTTTTAGCCTAGTAATTTTGGAAACAAAAGATGGTCTCCATAGTAAGAAGATAGAAAAGGAGTAGTATTAATAGATGATAGCATAGAACTAATGCATGTTTTTTAGTATAAAGGAAAGATTTTTTTAGCCTTCCTGCCTAAAACAATATTGTGAACTATGAGTTATGCTAAACTGGTGAATAGAATAAAAGGGAGCTGGCCCCAAGATGAGAGCTCAGAGTGAAAGTCAATAGTCAATGCCCAGGACATACCAAGAAAGCAGAAACCACATGCACCCATGACACATGAAGGCTTAATTGGTCCTCCTATGGTTTGGAAGAAAGACCTTGAAAAGACTTCCGACCTCTTAGAAGCAGACTTATAGACGTGTAACAGTGCTTTAATCCTTGCAGCCTGGAGTTACCAAAGTAATAGAATATCAGCATGGATAAAAAGCCTAATAAGACCACAATTGTCTAACATTCTCAGTTCTTTTCCTGAATAATTTTGGATCCCAAGTAAACACTTGTTTTCTGTAGGTCCTTAAATTCCTTCATGCAATGTATAATGGAGTATATTTTTACCTCTTTTTTTTTTTTGGCATTGTCTTCTAGTAGGATGTTTTTATTCCTCCTTATTTCTCTATGTGATTGAATCTCTACAGTGGTATTTGGGGTTACCTTAGTGGATCTTTATTTGTTATAATCTAAATTTCTTAAGATGATCTACTCTTGCCCCATGCTCTACTCTCTTGTTTGTAGTCTATACTTATATTTCTCTCTCTTCCCATTCATTGA